AGCTTTTAGTCTACTATCCCATCATTCAAGGGTAGTTTTCACTATAAGTAATGGTTTATTTTTGGACGGACACAATCATTTACATTTGTTTACTATGTTCAATCTGAATTTACTTTAAATTAAAAACATCTATATTGATTCTGACACTTCTACATCCAACTCATAGATGTAACCTTGCTTTGAGAAAAAAGATTATTAATTTACCCCTTTTAGAAGTGAAGATATGGTCATTTGTTCTGGGAATGTCATTTTCGAGCCTGAGACCTGAAAAACAGGCTTGGGGCTTAACAGGTTGATAAAGCACAAGATCACAACAGAAGTTTTCTCAAGACTCTTTTCACAAAGAGCAGTTCTAGAGTGAACTCTTTCCGTGTGTCATTATTTGGTTATAGTTGTGCAGATGGGTTTCAATAATTGTACTTCATATAATTTCAGTGTGTTAGCAATCAAAAACACAGCTGATACTTGAAACATAATATAACAGCTGTTTCCCATATGATTTGATGTGCGTTCAAACACATTTCTGAAGTTTGGAATCACCTAGGACTTGTGCATGACAATAGTTGATCTATCATTTCACACGATATACGTTCAACTGTGCAAAATGTGCTTTAATCTACACTATAGTGAATCCTCACACCATATTTATGAAGTGGTTAACGTTTAGATGACTTGTTAGCAGGAGAGCGTTGCTAATGCCAGACTGTTAGAACATTCCTACTACTGATATTACTTGCTTGTTTTAACAGTGTCATTACTCCACTATTGCAAGACAGTTACACATGCCAGTGAATTAGGACATGTTCTTTAGACACAGTATACTTTCATTGTTGTTTTTACGGGTACATTTAAATAAAGAGACATTGTCTAGAAATATATGTTAAAGGTAGGGTAGGTAAGTTTGAGAAACCGGCTCGAGATCGCTAGAATTTGAAAATACACAACCGGAGAAAATCTGCCACTTCCTTACAGAGCCCCTCCTCCAACACACACGAACGCGCACATGACCAATGAGTGCACGAGATAAGTTTGTGCACAGATGGAAGGCTGACAGGCAGGTAGGCCATCCAGTTATTTTAGCCGGGCCGGCTAAAATGATTGGTCGTGCTTTTTACAGTATTAAGGCTTCCACAGATGCCATTTTTTTATGGATTTTTTGTCAAAGCACTTAAGATATTCATTGCTATCGGGATGTTAAGAGCATTCCATGGAATATAACAACAAGTGTATCTCGAGCCGGTTTCTCAAACTTACCTACCCTACCTTTAACGGACTGCATTTATATAGATTTTTTTCAGTCTTACAGTCTTGCAACCCCTTACACCGCTTTTACCTTTTGAAGTCAGCATCCACCCATTGACACCCATTCATACAGAGGCAGAGGCTGCTATACAAGGGATGTTGACTGCAGGCACAGGGAATCAAACCATTGACACCTCAATTGGTAGAAGATCTACCACAGTTGACCTTGTGAAATATTATCTGTTTAATGATTTTTAGAACAAATCTTTGACTGTTCTGTTTGGTCAAAACCTTCCAGTTGGGTTAGTTATAGGGAATTTGGACCCATGACCTGGAGCAGTATCAATAACACTGGCATGACTTTGCAAGCTATACTCACAATGGCAACATGATCAGAATATGTATTGAAGAGTGTTGCAGGAATGAGTCCAACAACCTGGGAATTAGTTAGCATTTTGCATCTTCCCTTTCAATGGTTTCTGAATGTGTTTTTGGTTAGAGGCCTTTAATAAGGTCAGTAGCTTACAACAAACTGATGATATTTTAATGCTTTTGTTCCACAACATAAAATATGTCAGTAAATACCCCACTGGTGAATGTCTGAAGCATATGTGTCCTATAAACAGAAGTGGCAAACAAGTGGCTAAATAAGACTACTAAATGTCATCAAACTGGAAATTAGCCCCTTTTAGCTTAGCACTGGTAAAGTCATGATGTGACCACAATGTAGTTTGTTTATAGCATTATGTTTGCTTTTTACTTCTGAAGAATGCAAAAGTGTTTCAAAAAAAATATGTACAGATTATCCTGCTGAACCAAACCTGCATGTAACAACCCACTGAGTTTATCTTTCCTGCAATATTGCAAAATCCAATGGAAAAATCCCATTGGACTTTGTTGAGGGGCCCTTGAGATACTAACTTCCGGGCCAGCCTTCTTCTGGAGATTGTATTTATGCTTTGGATAAAAGTGTCTAACAAGTAACATGTAATGCTTCAGATATAAAGATTATCCTGCTGAACAAAGCATGTAAGTATCATAAACATGTGCCACAGAGCTTCAATGGAAACAATCCCATTTGTAAAGAGCCCTTGTGATGCTAACTTGGCCTATATCTGCATCACTATTACTTAATATGTTGATGCCAGTGGCGTAACAAGGTTGTGATTGGCCCCGGTGCAAATATTGTTTTGGGCCCCCCCCCCCATCGCCCCAAACATAAGCGCACACTGATGCGCTCACACACGCACGGACATCAGTGGCGGCACCAGAGATTTTCTTTTGGGGGTGCTGTGGGCTAGCTTGACGTTTCACAGAGGGTTCTCAAACATTTAGGGTTTTCCCTTAATCTACCGGGCGCTACAGTGGAATTTTCTACTGCTACACTCCCCACACGCACATACACAATATATATACACTTGTTACAATGAAGGCTCGATAATCAGCTCACGGCATATAGGTGTAAGCATAGGTAAAGTGCTATTTTTATAAGTGGGGGGTGGACCTAATATCCTCTGGGGGGTCCGGGGGCATGCTCCCCCGGGAAGATTTGCATCAATCTGGTGGACTCAGAGAGCAACATGAAGAGATCTATCGATACATCTCTCAACACCCATATGAAACAGAACTGTAAACAGATTTACTTTTTCTTTATGGATATTTTACAAATCACTACCCTTTTAAACTGTATTCTTGTTTTATTGTCATATAGTATTTCCAAATTGTTTTTCATTTATTCTTATTTTTTTTATACCTATAATGATCATATGAAGGTGTGCCTCGGAAATAATTGTTTACATAAATCGTGACCAAACCGTTTGAGACCCACTGAGATAACTTAGACTAAGTAAACTATCTAAACACTCAGAGAGTCCTTTAGCTCACCTGTCCCTCAGTCTGACAGGAGAGGACATTCCCTTCACCTTGTTGTAGAAACAGCTCCTTATATCCGTTAGAGCAGCTAGCTAAACAGATGCTAACAACACGGTCCCTGGCACCGGTGAGCTCTCTCTCTCTCGCTCGCTTAATCACACTAAATGCACGCCTGCCACACACACACACAGAGCCGAGCTTGAATGAAACACAGAGACCCAGAAGTACTTGTTCTGTACTGTGGCATATTATTTTCGAATCAATACTTTTTCAAATTATGAATTTCACACGTAAAAATAAAAAAAGACATACATTTATTGGGGGTGCTTGGGGGGTGCTATGGCTATCCTAGGGGGAGCTTCAGCACCCCCTAGCGCCCCCCTGGCGCCGCCTATGACGGACATACACAACCACTCAGAATAGAAGCGCCACATGTATAGGCTATCAACAACAGCCTGCCCTGGCCTCAGACCACCACAGCCTGACAACGGCACAGCGAACTAAGAAGAGGATTAAACCTGTTTCCTTGATGTTTGTCTCTGGGGAATGGGCCGGTAGGCCTACATAGACCGGTTGCTATAATATAGCTTTTGATCTTGGCGTCGGGGGTCTCAATAGCGCCATAGAGTCCCCTATTGGTTGGGGCCCTTGGGGGAACTGTTGGACCACCGCCGGGCACAGCCACATCCAGCCTCTCCTCCTGGCTGGCTGGAGAAGAAGGTTGCACAGCCACGGCCACGGATACAGCTTCACTTGTGGAGCTAGATGGCAATGATGGTGGTGAGCTATCGATAGCCTCCGGCTCCGGCTGCCGTTGCACATCCACATTGCTAACGTTAGCGCTCGATTTCGAGGACGATGTATGACAAAAACTCTAATTTTGTCAGTTTAGCTGTTACATCTCCTTGCTCTCTTTCGTCCTTTCTCTTTTGAGCGCCGCTCTTGTGCTTTGGTTTGCTGTACATTATAAATGCAAGCTATTACATTTTTTATAATGCTGCCGAACTTGCTGCTGCTAGCTACAGTACAGTTCAGGTTGATTAAACGGTTTGCTCGTCACACGAGGTATCACATGACATGAAAGGGAGCAAGGTCATTGGACAGACAAATTACACATTAATTTAGGTTGCTTGGTTACTTTGAAGACTGCGTGAACCGGTCAATGCCATTGGGGCCCCAAAAAGAAAAAAAAAAAATATATATATAAAATAAATGTTTTTTTGTTGTTGTTGTTGCATGGGCTCCTGGCCGGCTCTGGGCCCCGGTGCGTTGCACCGGCTGCACCGTCGATAGTTACGCCACTGGTCGATGCTGTAGTGCTAACAAGGATACAGTTGAAATTGCTACTCTGCTTCTCTTGCTCTTCTGTTGTAACTTAGTGTCATATCTTCTGCTTCTTTTGCATAAACATCTACATATGGCAACTTTTACCAGTCACAGTTCCTCTGTCTCATTCTAACTCTGTCTTCTTGATGTGAGAAGTCGGGGAGGAAGCAGATCTCCTGCAGCTCTCCTCAGACTGTGTGTCTATCAGAGACAAACACAGGAACCGCAGCGGCTTCACAAGCTCCTAATGGACGGATGACGACGCCTCTAATGAATGCACTCATCATCTGTGTGGGTGGGGGGGTGTTTATGGCTTTATGACAGTCTTTTGGTGTTGCAGCCAAACAGACGCCCCGGTCCTTAAAGACTCAGGGTTTAACTGAAGAGACACATATTTTAAACACATGCTGCCCCATCCGTTCCTCTCTTCACACAGAGAACAGATTGGAGGAGAAGGGAAAGGAGAAACTTTCCCACTCTAGGAAAAAGGAGAATATTGCATTACTTTTCATTTCAATAAGTAGAAATTCAACGACATGAAGCATGATGGTACTGTAAAGTCTCTTCTTTAATCCAGCATCAGCAGTGCCATCGCACAAAACAACAACAACACAGAGACAGACAGAAGAGAAGAACATTTCACAAAGAGGGAGGATCAGAGTCTCTGGAGTGTGCCTGCTGGTTGAATACTGCGGCCATATGGCTTAAATGCGCCTTGATAAAAACAATTTAGGAAAAATAAAATTACTCCTTGAGGTTTTTCTGTATTTATCAGCAGGACATACTCCAGAAACTGTGTTCCAACAGTGAGTAGAGGAAGTACTGGGACAGGAGGCGGAGAGCAGAAAGTAACAGAGTTATTCAAATAAAAAGTATAATTTATATACATATCTTCATTTTTATCAAATCGTTTTGTCTTCTTTATCCCAATACTTTTAGGCTACAACAAATCAGACTGACTTCAGAACAGACAGTCGGCACAACATGGAAAACAGAATCTAAAGAACATGACAGACACAATAAAAGAAAATCATCTATATTACAATAAAATGCCATATCCCAAAAAAGACAAAACAATAACCAACCATTTTAAAATCATCCAACAAGAGAGACGATGTTACTCAGTTTATATACAATAAATTAGAAATATTTCCTATCAAGAAACTTCTATTTAGTCTGTTTAAATGTTCAGTAAGCATTCCCTTCCGACAGATTTAACACACAAAGAGCAAGACGACGAAATGACGAGGAATGTGAGGCATGCGCAAACCATGTAAACATGTTCTCGTAATTAGAGGATTTGATGCTTATCAATAAAGTCTAAGACAAAAAAGGCTCCATGTAGACCCGTTCGTTTCTGCGCAAAAACGACTAAATGAATAAAGCATGGATTAAACTGGAGGCAGAATCCACGCAGCTGTGCGTAAACGACATGTATGCTTCTAATTTTTACAATGGCGGTGCATCATTTGTGGTTTTCAACAAACACACACACACACACACACACACACACACACAAACGCGCAGTATTGTAAAGCCAATGTGTTGTTTATGATCCGTCAATAAAACTGCCATCGGACGCCATTAACTACACCGACACTTCAAATAACGCCGGCCTTCCGACACGGCCTCTTCATATTTTTTACTTTCAGATCAATACAATTCTGCATGAACTGAAATTTAACCAGATAATAGTTATTAAATACGGACCCTTTTGCTGGAACATTTCACGTGGGAGTACATATTTTACGTTATGTCCTTTTATATAAAAGCGTTATAGAAATTCTAGGAATGATATTTTTCTAGGCTAAAACAAACCGAAAGATGATTTAGAAATTGTCAGTAAACGTGAGCGCATCAGGATTTTTATTTTCGTTCTTCAGCTGAAGCGCAGCGTACATTTCCTGTAATGAGAGAGACCCGCCTTGCATAGCAGATAATACACAATATACTGTCTGTACAAAAATAGAGCAGATTATTTCTCAAAATGCATTCGAAGACCTACGCTGAATAAAGACTGTAAAATATGGACAGAGAATTAAAGTAAAGTACATTTTAACTTCGCGCGAACTGGAATCTGAAACAAACATGTATAACATTATCCCTGCAAATAGCTTGTAAACTAAAGTAATTAGCCAGTCAAATGAAGAAGTGTAGAGTTGCCTGTTTAATGCAGTTTGAGAGCGTTGGACGCGAGGTGCAGAATCTGAGAAAAAAACGAATTGTGCGATCTGGAGCATTTTTGGAGATCCCCAAAAGCAGATGCGTAAAGCGTAATTAAAACAAAAAGTGGATGGATATGATTTTCAAATCCGGAGCGTTGTGCTGTGTCTCCTCTCAGATAATCTGTGCTTACTCCAAGCGGACGGGACGAGTATCGATATCCGATATAGGCCTCAGCACTCGAGCAGAGCCGCCGCCGCAGCGCATAAAGCATCCCGGAGCTGAAGGGCGGCATCCAGCGTATCGACAGCAGCCTAATCGGAACCCCAGTTGCTGAGTCGGGTTAACACCCCCGGCACCTCATCACTTCCCACCCTTATCCTCCTCCTCCTTTTCGGGTATCTGCTCATTACTTAGGCCGACAACCGGGAAACAAACGGCAGATAGCTGCTTGTATCAACGTCCACCATCAGGCGCTTTCTAATCAAATTCTGCAAGCCAAGAGAAAAACCAAGAAAGAAAAATGTGTGTGTGTGTGTGTTTGCGCGTGTGTGTTTGTGTGTGCGCGTGTGTTTGTGCGTGTGCGTGTGTGTGCTCATCTTGCTTATTAATGGCCACGTGAAACCCGGTTTCTTCAGCTACGGAACAATAAATAACTAAAAGAAGAGTAGTACTGGAGAAAAATAAAAACCCTCCCCACACACGGCATCACCAGGCAACCTATTTAAAGTCTGATCTGTGAGATTTTACCAAAGCCTCAAATGAAGACGTGTTTACGAGCTTCCACAAGTGTGTGTGTGTGTGTGTGTGTGTGTGTGTGTGTGAGTTTGCGGTTAAGACATAAGCAATATGGGACTTTATGTTGGTGTATGCGTGTGTCATCGCCACTGAGAGTCCCGCTAGTCCTTGGGATGGTCCTTGCTCTGTTTCTTCATTTTCATCCTCCGGTTCTGAAACCAGATCTTCACCTGCCGCTCTGTCAGGTTGAGTGCTCGCGCCACCTCATGCCGCCGGTCCCGCGTGAGGTACATGTTGAACAGGAACTCCTTCTCCAGCTCGAGCGTCTGGTATTTGGTGTACGGGCATCGCTTCTTCCGGGAGGAGCGTGCATGAAGCCAGTTTACCGAAGGGTCAGCTAGAAAAAAAGAGGAAGAAGCAGAAAATGTAATAAAGGTCTCCAATCCTGTCTTTGGGGGGTTTATAACCATATTTCTCTGTGCGTAAAGGCTTCGCTCGGAAACACCTGACTCTGCAATTGACACTGTGGTGTGTGAACTAGTTTTATGGTGAAAAAAGCAGTAATTTGACACAAGGTGTTTTGTTGACACTGCATGGAGGACAGACAGCTTCACCCAACCTACAGTCAGCAGAAAAGCACATGGACACATTAACGTGAACAGCATCTTTACAAAGAGGGATTTTCACAAAATTGCCATTGAAAAACAAACACACTTCAAACCCCCTACTGATCGTTTTTTAGTTTTATTCATTTACAAATCATTAGAACTTAGACGGCACTATAGCTCTGAAAGCCGGTTCTGACCTTAGAAAATTACACCAATTTAATTCCGAATTTAAGTACAATTATTAAAAAGCAAAACAAATCTATTGCTACCTCTTTTAAGGTGACCTTCATTGCATGACTATGAGAACAGGTGATACCATATGGCAGGAGGCATTGTGTGGTTACTTGCTAAATCCCATTTAATGACAGAAAAAATGGAGGATGCAAATCAGGGGAAATGTTTTACAGGCCTAATATTGGTTTTCTTCTTGTTTGCATCAGAAAAATAATCATCTTGTAGCCCAGCACACTGTCACTGCCTCACTCTTAATCTCTAATAAATGAATAAACAGAAATGTATGGCCCTGATGGGAACAGACAAAAAAATATTTCTTGCCTGCATCCTTTGTCTTTCATTAAACTGTCAATATTAGAATAATTAAAATTAAAGACTTTGTGTTCCATTTTGCCTCATCAAAACTCTGAAAAGCTCCAACTGGCTCAAGATTGTTGAATTGTGCATTTGAGATTTTAATAACAGCATTGTAATGCATAAATGAGGCTCCTAAATTGGCTGTTCTTCATTTTCGGCGGAGAGAAAGTTTTGAATTATCGCTTTGATTCTTTTTTCATCTGTCTCTATTTCTTTCTTTCTTCCAATTATCTGGTTTGCCAGACCTCCCTCTTTATAGCTTTCAGACCGATGTAATTAGCAGAGGATTGTTGTTTGGATGCATGGCTCTGGTTTAGGGCTGAAAGCTATCTGCTCTTCCCCTCTGCAAAGCACCAGGTATCTCAACTATGAGGCAGCGTTAAGACACAGTTGGCCAACACAGACTCCTAAATAATCCATCATGAATGACAATGGCAGTTTCCATGCCTTTCACACTATCTTGCAAATATAATCAGTTAACTAAAAACCTGAGAATAGACGTTTATTTTCTCTGCTATATTTAGCAACATTTTAAAAGACCAGATCTGCTTATGATTCATTTGCACTCACACCTCTTCTAAATAAAACCCTTAACCATGAGCCATCCTTCGCTGTGGTCAGGTCAGGATCCTCCACTCAATCACAACCGTCAGGCCAACCAAGCACCAGCTACAGTCTCTAAAAGAAAAAAAGAAATGCAATGCAACGCGAAACATCTCTGCCTTCTCATTAGCCAGAACTAGTTCTTACATTTGAGTTGCTGTTACAAAAGCTTAAATACCATCTCCTATGAGAAACAGCAGTAAGGGGCAGCGAGCAAAGCAAGACCACAATGGAATGACTTTCTTTAAATCTGCTGTTTCTGCCTTTCTGATGTCAGCAGTATAATTCCAAGTCGTTGTACACCACCCAGATGTGACTAAAAGAGGATTAGGGTTGGTTTAGGGTTCGGGAAGAGCACTGGATTTATGTTGAGTCATTGGCTGTCTACCAGAGGCAGTGTAAGTCCCAATGAACGAAACACAGCACTCATTCAGTCTAATCATCATGCTTATTTTGGGGATATGACTTCCATCGAAGTCAGTTTGGGTGACATTGGGCCCAAAAAAGCATCTCATTGTTGCTTTAAACTGCAAAAAAGTTGGCATTAAGGAGATTTCCTTCCCTTATGTCAAATGCATCCTCAGTTATCTAAAATGGCAGAAAGGATGACCCTATCACTCACATGTCATGGGAAAAGCCTGAACTTCAGCGACTTTTGATGGCAAGAGAAAAGCTTTAAAGTCACATGTGTCTTTTCTTGAGAAGTCTCTGCTCTAACTTACATTATCATATTCCAGTGGAGGCTTCATACTGTATGTCAATTTCACTAGAAATATTTGAATACTGTGACAGTTCTTCTTGGTGTCATGCCAAGAAGATTGACATAATAAAAGCAGATGGCGTTCATAATGGTTCCCAGTTGTGGACAAAGAACTGTTTTGTGTGGCGCTAAGCCATGTTAGCTTTATTTTTGATGAAGTACATTAGCATTTAAATGTTTGACATGCAACATTTAAACCAGGAAAATACTAAGATTTAAAGAAAGGAATCATGGAAAATGGAAAACTTGTTAAAAGATAAAATGATGATATACTAAGTTTCCGCTTAATGATCAAATGTTTGACCTTTTCAGTCCAAACTGAGTCATGGTAATAATGGAAATACCACATCTGATCCATCACCAAAATGTAATTTATGAGCTGGTTACCAAACTGAACCAACGCAACTGTCTCATACATCTCCTAGAATTCCATAAACTGTCATCACTGGAAATGTATTTTCATGTTTATAAAACTTAGAGTTCTGCTCAACGCCATTTGAAATGATCAGATAAGATGAATAAGGACATAGGATCATTTAAGGTTGAAAAGGTATGACATCGCTATTTAAGATGTACAAAACAAACTATGTGGACTGAAAAATGTTGGTGTTCTAGATGTGAACAAACCAAAGCAATGACAGTCCTACCTGATTTAAAAGACGTGTTGCTAACCCTTGATAAACTTACTACACTTAGTAGGCTATCAAGTGTAACAAGGCCTTGAGAGGTTTGCAGAATCTGTGAACCTAATCTCTTTTTCTGGTTTTTCTGTAAATCATATTCAGAAGTTGGTTACAGAAGAATATCTCAAAGACTTCCATTGATGTTCTCGGAGTCACCCGGCCTGTTCCTTTGGGGATCTGACAGAATATATCCTCCCTGTGTTAATCACAGCAGCCCAGTTAGTTAGCGGCCATCACCAGTAAATATGTCCTTAATACCCTCTGAAATCAATTCCCTGCAACATGGCCCGCATGTTAAGCTTCGATTTCATCTCAGGGCAGAATAATGCCTGGTGGAGAGGTGAGAAGGGGGTGGGGGTGTGCAGCGCTTTTGTCACACCGTAAAGTGGGTGCTTTGCATTCCTCGGGTGTATAATCACCTCCAGGATCATCCATTACCTCCGGAGCTGTGCCGCGACCGTGGCTGTCACCCGGGATGACAAACCGGCGTAGGGGGGTTAGGAGGAGGGGTGCTGCTGGTGATGGTGGATGGCATTGACTTTTTTCTCCAAGTTGCAACAGTAAGGATGTGGACAGATGAAAAGAAGGATATGGGTGGGGGTTTATAGTTTGTACAGTCCTAGCTTGAAGTTGTCTTTAGGCTACAGCCTTGTATCTGCTGGGATGTCACTTGGACAATCATGGACGAAAAGATAAAAAATGGTGTAAAGCTACGTCCCTGCGGCACGATGTGTTCAATTGTAGGCCAATGTGTGTCTTTGCTTGTTTGTGTGTCTGTGTGTGTGTGTACACCATGATGAATGCTGCTTGCATTGAAACAGTATCCGAAGACTAATATCACATCCCATCTCTTTCTCCCTCCCTTAGCAATTTCCCCCTAATAGTTCCAGAAATTGACCTCTCATATATCCCAAAGGCACGTTATTACATTTCCAGAAGCCGTATTTTATTCCCCACCAACCCCAACCCTTGCACCCCACCTCGCCCAGCCACCAACAGCAACACGCCAATTAATGGGGTTCTTCACCCGGCGTTATAACTTAATAAACTTCAGGGGTAATAACTTTCTCATGCTGGCCGGCAGCGGCAGCGGCAGCACAAAGGCTGAAGTGTAATCTTGTAGTTTATTCTGGATGGCCGCCCAGCACCAGTCACACAAAGAGAATCTGTAGCTGAATGCCAGCGTTGACTGGATGTGATGTTTGGAAAGGTACGATTCCACTGATGTTATTCAAACCGCAGACAGTTTGAGTACCAGAGGGAAACTCTGCCAACAGTTATGCTCCAACATGCAGATACTAATCATTTCTCAGTCTCGAATGGAAAGAGCATCAGATACAACTTGTTTCAAAGATTCAGGGTGGATATTTCCACTTGTACCCATTACTAGATGTTGCTGATCGTAGGATCCTTCACAGTGCCCTCCTCAAATGAAAAGTTCTGAATAAGGAAGCATTACGTTTCATCGTGGATACAATTGTTATTCTGCTATGCATGTTTCCCTTTTGGCAACACATATGAGCTAACATATATATATATATATATGTAATATATAACGTGATAATCTAGGATTTTGGCTAGCTGCTTCCTGTTTCCAGTCTTTGAGGTAAATTAAGCTAACAGGCTACATACTGTACTGTACAGACATTAGAGTTGCATCAATCTTTCCCCAGAATCTCAGACAGTTAACTAGCACACCAACACAAATGTCAAACGATTACGTTAACAAAGATCAAAACAGTCATTGGTTTAACCGTCATAATGGCTGATAGCATTCTGCCATTGCAACACAAATAAATCAATCCCAACATAACCAATTGAAATCCTCTTCATAATATGTCCAATTAAATGCCTTTGAAGGAGACAATTCATATTTACACAAGACACAGGAAAGAACATTTTTTTTGTATTACCTTGCTGAACTTCCCCTTGTAGGATTTATAAAGAATGTCCTTCTTCCTCTTCTACTAACCTAAGGTTGCACTAACCATTATTTATCCCGGTGTTCTTATAGTAACCATTCAGTGAAGATACTTAGGGTTAGAGCAAGGGTGATTTTATTTCGCCTGCATAGAGAAATATTGGCCCCCATAGAAAATGGCTGCCTTGTGAACAAAAGAAACTGGACTGGCTGCAGCTCCCCTAGTGGCGGCACAGACACACTGCACACCAAACAACAAACCACAAGAAAGAGAAACTTTCTCTAATTGAAAAGACTCTCAGTTGTGCCTGTTTGAACATCAGAGTCCATTACAGACAAGCCTTCATTACCACCGAGCCAGACTGGAACACAGTGATGATTCAGACTGGAGGCTCTGATGGATGGCCTGCTTACATGCTGTAATAAGGCTGTGTGTGTGTTTGTGTGTGTGTGTGTGTGTGTGAAAGGGAGAGAAACAGGGAGATAGAATAGTGTGTGTGCCAGTGTTGCTATAACGTGTGTAGCTCTATATGATACGTGATATTATCTGCGAAACTTTATGTACCATCAGAGCCAGAATAATTCAAATAGTTTTAAACTTGGTGCTATGGAGATAATGTTTGTTCTGTCAGTGATGATGAATTGCATTTTGCACACGTTTTTTAAAATTGTTAATTGTTATTTGCTTTAATACCTGTATTTTAATAACACATAAGCTATTTTATTTGAACTGATTGTATATGCAAACATTGTAAATAACGTTTTAAAAAGCCAAAGTCTCTTTCCCTCTACAGCTGTGTGTCTCTGTGTGTGTGTGCGTGCGTGCGTGCGTGTGTGCGTGTGTTTTTGTGAGCGTGTGTGTAGTATTTGCAATTTGTATTCCCCTGTAAGGCCAAACGGTCACGTTTACAGACGCATGGATCAGAATCCTCCGACACAAAGTAGATTTATGGGGCGGGATTAGAGGAGGGAAACAGAACCCTTCACATGCTGGCTTGCTTAGGGAAATAAATAAGAAATAGGCCTACATAAAAAAATATCAAATTAATATCTTTCCAGGGAGCCTTTTTCTGTCCCGCCCAAAATAAGTCAAGAAGGTTTGGAAAATACCTCCAAACCGAGCCAGCACATGATGGATATAATGTTGCTGTTAGCGGGTGCAGACAGAACAAACCCGGGTTATATGGAGAACCTCCGCGGCTCTACATCAGGATGACTGCTACTTTATGACAGGTCCAATATTATTATTATTACAGAGTGAACAGATGAGTAAAACAGCAAAGGCGGCTGCATGACCCGCAGCCTACAGACTATAACAACACCAAGCTGAATTAGTGTATTGAAGTCAATCTGCTGCCTAACGCCTTCACATAAATAATGAACCCCCTTATTTTATAAACAATAACCGAACTTCGAAGGTTGCAATACATTCTGTAACAGTGAATACAAATATGAGTTTTATTTGATCACATAATACTAAAAAACACAACATAATTCACAATTTTACAGCTTAAACTCCGTAAATAGGGGCCTAAAGGCGATTATAATCGTATATCTTGGCCTCGGCACTATCTACAAATAATCTGCTCTTCACTTCCTGACAGTGACAGACGCCCTGACTGCTTGATTGCTATATCATTTTTAGGACAGCCCATGCATATGGCTGACATACATTTAATAGTTTCAGCTGATGGAGATGTTTGAGATTGGGGGCGGGAACAAAGCGTTATCCTTTTATGTTTGCATTTCTTTGCTTCAGAATAGTGACAATACAACAGAAATATGAAGAATAATCCCAGCACCCCTCCTCTCAAGAATATGGGAAATGACAAAGCAGTTGATTGCAGAATGATTATCAAGGCAGTATGGCCTTTCAAACGCATAACTAGGCTACATAGCATATTAAATACCGCGTCACTGGTTACCCTAGCCTGTAAAGAGAAACCGCGGCCTGCATGTCCATGGTGACGGCAGTAAAGCTCTGGAGCTCATGTCTCCAGACATCGCTTCTGACTTCAGTGCATATGTGGTGCGTGAGTGAGCAGTGGATATGGAGCAGGAGGCCTACAGCTCGAAAAGGTCTGATTTGTTTGTTCCAAAAGGGATTTACACAGTGTGACTGACGCGAGGAGCTTTAATACGCAATGGAGCGCGGACACAAACTCATGTGCGACACAGAGAGATTAATAAAGCCCATGCGACCTACAACCCACCTGCAGTAAAACCCTAAAGTAAAATGCAAAATCAAATCCGAAGCACCATCCCACTTGAAGCTTTTTCAGCAGTACACATGCCCTGAGCAATTACTCGTTTTTTTCACGATAGCTCATAATCAAACAATGATTGTTTTTACACAAGCATCTGTAATTCCAATTAAATGTATATATTTTCTGCTCATGAAGATATAAATCCATATGTTTTTTGTTGACAGTTTCCGAACTCACCATCAAGATACTATCAAATCGTCAATTCTTTTTAAACTGGCATATTGTTGCAAAACAGCGTGAATCGTATTACTAAGAAATGCAATGCAAGTATCCTCTGACCACACCATCCAACTGTGTTATGTTTAGGGTTAGGTTAAATTATATAATATAGTAACCGGTTCTAGTTATTGTAGCCTACTAGTTTTAATTAGGCCTACTTAGCAAGTTGTCCACTTATTGTGTCCACCTCTTGTTTGTTTTTTGTAGTAGCTTCCACAGAATTGCGCAGGGAACAGAACAGAGATTGGTTTATGTGACGCTACATAATACAGTTAATACTGTTTATAGGCTATCAAGAGTAATCCGTTACTGCAGGAGCCTGCTGCTAACACAGGGATGATCCGGGCTAAATATCTCAGTAAACTTAGGAGAGCAGAAGGTGGGGGCACTTTGGCACTCCGGCTCTTTGTTCTTGTTTTATGGCGGCATTAAAAGCATTTACAATCTCCCTCTCTCGTTCCGCTCTCTCCTGCCTGCTTTAATAACTTACTTTGATCCGGGACGTCTTTGTCCTCACTCCCATCACAAATGTCCTTATTTTCTTCGAAACCTGCTCTCGGGATGGCGGCCGGATGGAGATTTAGCTCGCGCGCGGCCGTGGACGCAGACTCCAGGATGTACGTGGTGGTCTCCTGCTGGATCTGTCCGCTGAGTTTAGTCGGGATCTCTCCGCCGTGGTGTCCGAGCTGAGGCTCCAGCTTGACCTGCCCCGCCTGGCCCTGCCCCGGGACAGCCTCGGAGCCGCGCGGCGCGCAGTCCAGCCATGAGCGGAGGTAGCGTGTGTCCGCGGCGGGCACGTGCTGCGCTGGGATGTACGGGTGGTAGACGGTTGGGAGGCCGCTGGCCCCGTGATGCGGGCTGAACGGGCTCCAGGAGGAAGAGAAGACCGGGGGCTTCGGCTGGAAGCTGCAGGACGGGTAGGACTCCGGGTGGGGGTGCTCGGGCTGCCTCCCGCCCGCGGCCACGGAGGAGCTCGAGCCGGAGTACTGGTGGACGCCGGGAAAGCGAGCCGGGGTTGAGAGTTCATCGCTCTCGTGACTTATGATGGAGTCCACGTAATAGTTGCTCAAAGTCCCAGAAATGGACATTCTCGGACATTATCCGCGAAACGCCGCGAGTTCACTAAATGGAAAACAAGAAGAGAGACATTACGAGATTTTACTCTTTGACTCTCTCTCTTTTTCTCTTTGCTTGCTCACCCCCTCCCTCTCCCTCTCCCCCTCTCTCTCTCTCTCTCTCTCTCTCTCCTCTCTCTCTCCTCTCTCCTCTCTCTCTCTCTCTCTCCTCTCGTCTCTCTCTCTCTCTCTCTCCTCTCTCTCTCCTCTCTCTCTCTCTCTCTCTCTCTCTCTCTCTCTCTCTCTCTCTCTCTCGCCCTTCCTTCCAAACAACTTGCGCACTATAGCGAAACAAAGTGCTACAGCCTCGCACTGTGCGCGGGGCGCAAACTGATTGGCCGGACTTTTTTCTCCGAGCCTGATAAAGCTTCAATGGAGCGTAAATCAATAATGCACCCCCCCTCCCCTTTTTCCCTCTCTCTCTCCTTCTATCCCACTCTCTTTCTCGCCATTTAATAGATTGCACCCCCTCTGAATAAATTGTCTTGTTTATATGCAATATGCAAAATGAACAGCTCGTGCGTATATCTAGTCTGTGTATCTATGGCTGCTGTCAGAGTGAGAATTACACCAAACTGTTAAATTATGCTCGGTCTGGGCAGCGCGGAGACAATGGCTGACAAATAAGTGGCGCCATTATTTTTATGTATATATTTATTTATGTATTGATATGAACCTAATCAAAATAGATGCGCGTGCATCTCAGTGTGACGCGCACTGTACACATTACCGGGAGCGTGAGCACTCTTTTCTGTATTGTGTGCAAATCAATCTCAACATCATTTAAACGAGCTGATAGCCAACAGCAGCGTTGTGTTATACCCAAGACAAGACAGACAGTTAAATTCACACCTATGTGTGGGTAAAGATTTACCCACTTTCTGGATACACTCGGAGTGTTTTTCCGTGAGATGCCTGACACTGTTTTATTGGCAGATTAACAGTCATTTTTGTTAACGAGCGCCATTAAATCGGGCCCTGCGTGGTTATGCCCCTTGTCTTTACAGCGCAAACTACTCCAACTACTTTTTGGGGTCCGTTTAATACCATAATAAAATCCTACATCAGGGCGGCTGCTTTGGTTTATAGGGCTGATATATGGCCTGTGGGGCTGCAGCCTCTCCCCCGGTCTGGTAAAGGACGCTTCTCACTCAGCGGTCAGGCGGCCACGGGTACACACAGCCTGGACAGGAGCAGGGAGGGACTGAGGCTCCTCCTGTGGCCGAAGAGAGGGTCACCTGGCCCCGCTGCTGTGCGCTGGAGCTCCCGGTGCTTTCCTCTGCTGCCCAAAGCCTCTCTTGGATCAAATCCGTCACTTGGCTTTTAATGAGGAGACTGAAGAGCATCAGCAGACCGGAGTCCAGACATTTGACTTCCTGCTGACCTTTATCAAAGTCACCGGGATATAAGTCTTAATATTTCTTTATAATGAACACAGACTTGGACTCTTTGGGGACGACAGGCTGCTACGGGGCTATAAATCCGACCTTTGCAGCTAACAGCATTATTTACGACGATTACATATAACTACGCATTGCATATGGCGCAGTTAGTTACCAGGATGAAGGTAGGCTACAGAGCAGCTTTGAGATCTGCTGAGGAGAAGTGATGAGTTGGACCAGAGACACATTTCAGGAGCTGCAACCAAAAGGAAACAAAACAAGAGTCCTTTAAACACCAGGCGACTCTGGTGCTCAGCTTTGGCCTTTGAGCTTGAATGCAGCACATTCCTCTGCCCTTCCGTCTTAAAGGAACAATCTCCAGCTCATCTGGACAGCTTCAAATGGAACACGGCGACCCAGTAAGCACCAGTCCGAACATATACTTTATTAAAGGTGGATGCTTAATCTGGGATAAATAGGTGCGTAATTTCTCAGCTGGTATGAATGAGCTTTTATTCAGAAAACTGACGAAAAAAGAAATAATAGTAACAGTGTTGCGTGTTATAAAGTAGTTTTCTGTCTTACTTGAGTAAAAGAACACACACTGTCTGTCAGTTTAACCCGTAAAGGATTTTGGTTTTCGTTCTTCTAATCTTAACCCTGCACTTCACGCACTGTTCCCGGTCAATTGTAAACTCCTAACACCAGGTTTTGACTTTGTTTTCCAGTTATAGAGGCTCAGGATTTTTTGCAGTGAAAATGGCCTCTCCTCAGACCGCAGGTTGAGGGAATTTTAATTTTGCGGAGGCCTCCGCCCTGCAGGCCAAGCTGCCAACCAGACTGCGCGTTAATTGGAGACACTGGCGCTGAAAAAGCTTGGAGACATTATCTGCAAACCACCTTCATTTTCTACACGTTGCACAAGTCCTGTGACAGAAGTGATTTGGACAATTAATTCCACGCAAATGCACAATTCTAGTTAAAATGTGAGGAATGCATAGAGTTAAATGAAGAATGGCCCATGCTATGCTTTCTTTTTTCACCTAACACATGTTTCAAAGCAATTTCCCCAAAACGTCCAATATCCTGCAATAGTGGGATTACGCGATCAGCAGTCATTATTTGCAGATCCCAACCACAGCTCACTCTCATTATACTTCGTCAGAATGCCAAGGTTATAAACCTTTAACTAATTAAAACAATTGCAAAATTCATGATACTCTCAGCTGATACGAAACGTTAAGCTGCCTATTACTTTATTTAATTTGAATTATTTTCAACCGTCACCTGAGAATATTTCAGGACAAAATGTATTTATTGCATAGACTTTGAGTATACTCCTAATAAACAACCAGTTTAAGAATAAACGAAATAAGAGGTTAATAAAGAAACGCAATTGAAGCTTCAATGCTAGGATTTCACAAGTGCGTGTTTTCATTTTCCCGTAAAGATGCGAAATGACTGACACAGTGAGGCCGCCATCCTCTGTGCTGATTTGAAATATTGACATGTGAAGTCCAGGCGGTGATTTGGTTTTCCTGGAGCTGAAGCCTCCATTTCCACCATTGGTTCTGGATTTAGAAAGCATACATTTAGACCGTATTTTAATTACAGTTTACCCACATCCTCGTGATCTGAAAACACAGACACTGCATGTGATCATTATAATCAGTTTTGAATCTGACCTAAGCTCAAAGGTCTTTTGGCAGTCTTATTTTAAACCACTCTTTAGTCGACTTCACCTTCGCAAAAAGGTCAGATATAGGCTGTAAATGCGTTAAAAAGGGAGGGGGAATAGACTGAATTTCTGCACTCAAACTGAAAACAACACATTTTCGCAGATGGGATGTTGATCAGAAACATGGTCAATTAGACATAAAGAAGTTAGAGAAAAACCTAACTAAAGGCACGTCAACAGCACTTTATTATCTACATTATTATTTTTGTTTATAAATTGCATCAGGACAAAAACCAGCAGACTCAGGGACAGTTTAATTCCACAGGCCAGAAGACTATTAAACACCTGAGCTTGCACTATTTTTATATTTATTTTGATATGTCTTGTAATTTGCACTGTTGAGGAACCACATACATTTACATCATTACACCGTAGTTTTGTATAAGAAACCTTTGAATCTTGAATCTTGAAAAAAAGGTAGGGCAAGCAATTATTTTTGGAAATGAATTGAAAACATCATTTCTATCTTCAACAGTGTGTTATGGTCAGGGTGAACTACATGTATGTATAAGCTATATGTATAAGCTGCTGCTTTTCATTGTATGTTCTGGTCACGAACAAAACATGTAATATATATATATATTTGTTTTGCACAATATTCAATTTGGACAGAATATTTTAAAGTAGCATGATTAACAATTTGGGTTCCACAAAATAATCGTTCATGATGTCCAATGAAATATAAATTAAATACAAATCAATAAGAAAAAACAAACAAACACATTGTGTATAAAAAGTGTGCAGACAAAAAAGAACATGGCCATGTTTTAAAATGTGCCTTTTAAAACATAGATGTATACATTTGTATTTGACATTATTGCATGTAGCATGTCAGATATAGATTTATTAAATAACAACTCATATGATCATGATTGATTTGTTTATATTCAATACACAACAATTCCCAGGTCTTGAGATTGTAGTAGCCACTTATTCACTATATCCTGTTCCTTAACTAACTCTGGATCAAACACTTAATAACATGATGTGTAATTACATAATGTATTTGAAGAGAAAGCATCTGCAACAACAACAGTTACTGAGCATGATAACCTGTTTGATTGATACAAGCTATATATTGTAATAACAGCCCATGCATGGGCCTCATAGATCATGTTGAGCATCATATTTATCAGATGAAAAGCTGGAGGAGGCTCCAGCCAGATCCCTGAGCCTCTTTACAGCTCACATGGTAAAGTTGCTTTTGTAAATGAAGTCAGCAGAGAGTTATTAAATGAATATCCATGACAGCAAGGGAAGGAGAAATGTGTCATACTACGGAACGGAGAGGGTCCCGAGACGCAGGAGAGAAAAGTCCAGCTGCTGGGGACTGTGTGTGTGTGTGTGTGTGTGTGTGTGTGTGTGTGTGTGTGTGTGTGTGTGTGTGTGTGTGTGTGTGTGTGTGTGTGTGTGTGTGTGTGTGTGTGTGTGTGTGTGTGTGTGTGTGTGTGTGTGTGTGTGTGTGTGTGTAGGTGTGTGTGTGTGTGTGTGTGTGTGTGTGTGTTATCATGCTTTATTACTAGAACTATTAGAATTAGTATTTCTTTTCTTTTCCTTATTATAATGTTTGATGAGGATTACAAGCTTCTGCAAGAAAGCATAAAGAAAACTCACAGCTAGACCTTGTATGCATAATTAGTTTGCATGCAAAGGTCCATGGCACATGTTTTAAAGTCTAAATCATTCATTGCAGTTAAAATGTTCTTAAATTATTTAGATGCATTTGCTTTGTGCATAATGTGCTAGTGCAGTGTGCATTGAAAAATCTGAAACGTTGACGTAGTATGTCAACAAATTTTACACAACTATTAGGTTAGTTGAAAGCAATAATATTAGGTAAATCCTAATATTAAAAAATATGTTTTGAACTAACCTAGTACAGTTATTTGAAATCTGTTGACATAAAACATTTAACTAAAGTCAACCTTTCAGTTTTTACATTG